CCCCCGCTATGTCCTACTGTGCTGCTGTGGCGCGATTGTTGCGTCGGTGGCGATTGTTGCATTGTTGCATCGGTGGCAACACGGCAGCAATACGACGTCGACGTGGGAAATGGCCGCCACTCCAACACCAACACCGGGCTCTCTTCGCGTGGTGGCACGGGGGGCGTGCCCATGTCCTCCACGGGCGGGGGCGGAGGGATGCAGTATGGTTCGGAGGCGGGAGGAGAGAACAACAGCAGCTACGGCGGTGGCGGCGGCCATGTCGTCCCGTCTCCGTCTCACTCACAGACAAACTCGATGTCGTCGAGCTATCGGAACATCCAACAGGTAAGCGGGGATCATCCAACAGATATGTAGGGCTCTCTGGGTTGGAGAGGTAACCACCCCACCCAATGCCATGCGACATGGGTTGCTGCTGCTGACGATAACATGCACTTTGCAAAACAGAGCTTGTTTTTCATAGCAACCAACCCTGCGGTATGAACATGATGAGCATACCCTGATACCCTCTCACCGCGGCAGTGGAGGTTATGTAGGCGAAGAAAGACCCGGGCTGCGGATGGTGGTGTGCCTGATGGTATGGTGTTCATGTGGCTGGCACGATTCTATTTTTTCTTGCTCTAGCCCTACCTCACCCCTCACCGCCGCTACACTCGGATTGTACCCGTACAAACCAACCCAGTTGCGGTCGGAAGACGGTATGGGATCGGTGCTGGGCACTCTGGTGGGCACGGAGGACTCGAGCAATGAGGATCTGCAGTGGAAACGAAGCGCGCTCAAGAAGTTCCACAAGGTGTGTGATTGCTTGCTGATTCTGATTGGATACCCTCGTTTGCTTCAATATGTTTACATTAGATGGAATTCTGTTTGTTGGGTGCACTGCAAGCTTCGTTTCTCGTTTGCTTGGTTTACGTTGGATAAAACCAGGTTGGTTTGCGGGTCGAGATTGGATCCTCATGCCAGTGTCTCTGTCATGGGGCATTCGGCGTTTTCCTCGAGGCCTAGGGGTGTTGCTGTACATTCTTTACGGCGAGTAGAAAATGACACGGACTAGTGCCGGAAAGTGCAAGAGCAAGTCTCAATGATGGTGTTGGTTGAGGTGATTCGTTCAAGGGAACGCCTACAAGCGTTCATGTGCAGTATTAGTTGCAGTAATCATCCGTGACGAGACATCTATTCTGTCCTTTCCGTGAGACACCACCGACATGTGTTGACGCAACCCTGCTGTGGGCACGACACTGCTGTGGACACGACACTGCTGTGGACACGACTGCCACAGGTGATGGTCAAGGGGGAAGGGCTTCGTGTGGTGAAGCACAACCGCTCGGGAGGGTCCCAGATGCGCATCATCCGGTACGACCCGGAGATAAAGGCCTTGGTCTGGAACAGCAAGCGGTATATGAAGAAAGGTGCGGTTTTTCTATTTTCCCTGGTGGCCAAGCACATAAATATGGTCAGTACTCGTATTGTGTGAGCCAGCTGTTTTTTTTTATAAATGGTCCGCGGTTTTTCGATTTCCGCATAGTAGAGGTGTCGTTCCAGTAGTGTACGAGCGAGCTGTATTTTGAGTCACGGTTTTTGTTGAGGGGTGTGAGGCGTGCTGTACGCGGGGTTGAGATGAGGACATTCATAGGTGCACAGGTTGGTATTGGCATCTATCTACATCTACAATGACTGAGCGAATGTACATTTTCCCATGAAACCGCTGGGGGCGTCTGAAGTAATGCACGAGGTTAGTCTACAGAATGCGGCAAAGAGAGTGGCGTCTCGATCGACCAGTGTTGTGTCCACACGAGGAGCATGAGCATTGTCCATGCTTCCTCGATGCTGAAGACCTATACCGTGTGGTCGTCATCCAGCGACTTAATTTAGCAAAAACAAAAAAATGCGAACGCCCCCCCCCCGGCCCCCACGCCCCCCCCGCCCCCCCTGTTGCTTATTTGCCCCCTTCATCGCTGTCCTTGTGCGTCATCAGCTGGATCGGCAAACGTTCCTATCGTGGGCATCAAGCGCGTGGGTCGAGAGGGGAACACGGTGTCCGTTACTGCGGCAGGCCGTGGAACCATTGGCTTCGAACCGCAGGTAAATATCCCCCCCCCCCCCCCCCCCCCCCCCCCCCCCCCCCCCCCCCCCCCCCCCCC